CCCGTGGGAACATTTGTCCTTTTCGTTTGAAGAACCTCTACCTAACCAACCTAAGTTTGAAAACGACGGGACTGCAAACCCTTAACATCATTTTTTTCCCCGTTAAATTTACGGACACACACCTCATTTTGAAGCAAAGAAATAGTTCCTTGGGGTTATCAAGTTAAAATTCTGGGAACTAGTCTTTTTAATAAACACTTGACCCTCCCCAGTAAAACGGCTTTAATAATTTTAAAATCTCCCCAAAGCCCCAAGAAACTATGAAAATTTCTTGTTCTGTAAATTTTTTTTTCATTTTTACCCCTTTTTTGGGACACCTCACTAATTTTTCAGGCATCTTAAAAATCTGATTTTTATTTTTTTTAAATAATTTCCTGTGAAGGAACCTTTAAACTTCAAATTTGCCGAGAAAATTTAATTAAATTTTTTTTGCTTTTTCTCCAAATTAAACTCCTTTATTCAAAATTCCAAGAATTAATAAGCCGTTTTTGTTTAAGACCGACTCCAAATCCCTTTTGTATTTACACATCCCAATAATCTCCTTTATCTTTCCTAACCCGGGAAATTTTCCGCAGAAAAAAAAACATTTTACCTAAAAAAATGTTTGCGTAGGGGAATCTCCACTTAAATTTTAAATTTATTTTGGAAAAAGAAATTTAGTTTAAAGGAAATTTTGGGGGGGGTTCATAACCTTTTTGGGGGATTATACCTTGGGGGGAAAAAAATTTAATGGAACCACGGGTCCTCTTGATTTTTAAGTGCACCCCCCTTTTTAATTTAATAACATATATCAAGGTTCATCCAATTAATTTTAGTTGGTAAAGTCGTCAGTAAAAAGAATTTGTTTCCTTACGCGGTTTTGGGTATTAAATTTTTCCCGCCTTTCTCTTTTCCTTGCCCATGCCTTTGGTTATGGAATTAAATTAGGGAAATTCAAAATTTAGTATTTAAGCCATTATATGGTTAACATACTTTGATTGGGCTCTTGTTAAGGATGGTCAACTAGACTTTGGGTTTTCCCCCCCTCCCCTTACCCTTCCCCCCTTCAAATGGCGTGGGGCTCCGCTTTAAAGAAACACATCTGACCCAGCCCCAGCACAACTGTAAGTTAAAAGCCCCCCCCTTTCCCTGTATTTTGGTTAAAAATTTCATTTTGCCAAATATAAACTTATTTCAGAAGCTCCACATGAGCTTTTAATATCCTTTTTTGAATTTTTCCCTTATAAATGTTTCTGAAGCGGGGTAACCTGTTTTTTTCCAGCTTTAATCCCCAATTCACCTTTGCCCAAACAACAAATTGTTTCTGAAGTGAGATCGGCCCCAAAACCTACCCTATGGGAGTTCATCTTCACAACTGTATTCCCTGTGTTTTCCAAATTCTTTTGTATTCTGAAATTTTTCCCTGTGCATAATTTTTCTAGATTGACTAACGGGATATTTTTGAACGTAAAAACCCCTTATAGGATTTCCATTATAACTTTTTTTCTAAGAATGTTAGTTGGGGCCCTTTAGCCACCACTGGGGAAGTTTTTTGGTCAGGGTCAATTTTTGAACCTCCTAAATTTTTCCAGATAGATTTAGTTCACATTTTTAGTTCATAATGGTGGATCATACCCTAAATTTGGGGAACAAGGGTTTATATAATTTGACAGGGAGGATTATAGATTTATTGTTTATTTGATACAAAGGGAAATCTGTTAGCTTTAAATGGGAACATTTCCCATTTTCCCCTTGAGTGTTTAGGTTACTTTTAATTTTTTTAAACCCTTTAAACCTTTTCGAAAGCCGGTATTTTTAAAGTTTTTAATTTTTAGTTTAAATGCATGTAAATCTTTCAATTTTTAGTTTTCATTTTAATTTCCTAAATTTTCCTATCTTTTGGAGGTAAATAAGGTTAAGTTTGAACTAAACCTTTCACCTGCCTTAAAATGGTATTACGGGGGGGCCATTTTCCCCCAACTTACTTTGATATGAAAGAACCGGTTTGGTGTTCCCTTTTAACAATTTTAAACCCTTAACTTCATACCTATTTTTTTTTAAATTTCTCTTTAATGAAAATTTTTTCAACTGCCCACCAATCTTTTTGATAGGTATTTATCTCCTTTTCCCATAATTTTTTAATTATTTTTTTTGAAATTTTGTTAGTTATTTCCTTATAAACTGTGAGGAAATAAGTTATTGAAAAATTTTTCACACACCCTTACCCCCCTGTCAGTACCTGACCCCCGGGTTTTTCTCTAAATGGGCCCATCGGGTCCCTAACTTACTTCGGGGAAATTTCCGGGACAAGAAACTTTTGGGTATCCTTCCCCAATCCCTTCACCGTTATTTATCCCCCTTTTTGCAATTTCTATTCCTATTTTTTTAAATTTTTAAAAAATTTAATTAAAAAATATATTGATTTTTTTAACTTGTTCCAATCTTTGTTATGCTAAAATCCTCTTCTTTTCCGGGAATTTTTAACTATTGCTCATGAATTTGATCTTTTTGGTTAGATCTAAATTTCCCCTATAACACAAAATTCTTGGCATGACCTCTCTAAAAAACTTTTCCCCCAAACAACTATACCTATTTTTATAACCCCATTTTTGCCACCATTTAAAATTTCTCTGCCAAAATCGCCAAACGGATATTGGGACAGAAATTAATTGCCCAGTTATCTGGGAATTTCCTTTTTTCAATTGAACCAAGGTTTGTGTTTTGCTTTTCAATGCTCTATTAACCATAAGATTATTAATTAGTGATTCTTTGTTAGCAAGAATTAAGTCAAGCAGGTTGTTTCCTCTAGTTGGTTCTGTCACAAACTGTTTTAAAAAATAATCCTGAATCGCATCAAGAAAGTCACTAGACTCATGATTTCTTGTCACATTGTTCCAATCAATTTGTCTAAAGTTAAAATCTCTTATTAACACAGCATTTGCATAACTAGATGCCTGATGAATTTCGACTCATAGCAGCTTACTGCACTCTCAAAGTTTGGGGGGCCTATAAATCACACCCAAAATTAACTTTGCATGACCCCTCCAGAAACTGTAGCCAAACAGAATCTATATCCTATGTTTCTAATCTTATATCTTGTCTAACACAACACTTTAAATTATCTCTGACAAACATCGCCACTCCACCACCCTTCCTGTTGACCCTATCAGTGTGGAATAGTTTATAACCCTGTATGTTGCATTCAGAAGGCATTTCTCTATTTTTCAAGTTGAACCAGGTCTCTGTTATAGCAATAATATCTATATTGCCTGCACTTGCAAATAATCTTAGTTCATCTATCTTATTTCTTAGAAAACTATTTGTCTAGTAAACCTTAAGGGAGCTAGTCATTCGTTGCCCTATACTATCTCTCTTTGTTTGTTGATCAATTGCTTTGCCTTTACTAGCAATTTTATTTTGAATACTGTCTTTTAAACATATCCCTGGGGTATCCTGGTAATATCTGCTGTTTTCAACCCTAGTACCGCAGCCTGATTGTTTCCCTCAGACACCCATACCTCTATAATCTATCAGTTTAAAGTCCTAGACATGTCACCAATAACCCCCTCAATCGAATTAGCTAATGCAACCACTCCAGCCCCAGAGAGATGAACCCCATTCCTTGCATACATATCACGTTTGCCATAGAATATGTCCCAGTTATCAATGAATGGGATTACCACACAACCACATCAGCCACTGTTCACATTGGAAGTTGATCCTTAAATGTACTTAACTACGTTTATGTTATCATTGTAATTTATAGATCAACTGAGGTTTCTAATTGAATTCATAAAACATTGTTTTATTATTTACGTCTCTCCTAATACACATCCTGTAATCATTTACGCCCATGGTTGAAGTAACGTGACTTGAGTTAATCCGCGTATATAAAAAAATATTTTTACTACGGTCCAGTACAATGGCACTGAGATAGCCCTCTAAATCCAATTGATAGTGCATAGAAATAAAATGAAGTTATAATATATTTTTTTCAGTTAATATCTTTGTAGTTCACAACTACCAGAATGCTAGAGTGAGATGTAACCCTGTTGATGATATAGAAATCCCTAGTTCCCTAGTTGAAGAAATCGTGTGAAACGTGCGAAAGGCAGACTATGTAGAACCATTGCGTAAACAACAGTGGCGTCCTGAGTTACATTTTTTTCCAATGTGTATCCTGCAGTAGCTACTGTTTTAATATAGCAGAAGTTAATTTATGGATAATGAATTAAAAGTGCTCAGTTTAGGAGACACATGGTTTAACGGTTTAATACTGATCTGTCATAAAAACTAACAATCAACGGGGTGGAACATGGCTCATAGAGTAGTACGTTGGTCTGGGCTTCATCTTCGGTGATAAATGTGTTGAACTGTGAGATCCCTTATGGGAGCTGTCGTATACAACTTTCGATGAGGAGAAAGACCAATAAACACTGGTATGTTTCATCTTCATTCCAAGAGGAATGTGGCCTGAGAAAAATAGGAAGGATTCAGTTTCCTGGCACCCATCCTGGAGAACTACTCGAAGTTATGCAGAATTTGTTTTTCACGAAGTCATGAAGAGATTTTTGAGGCAAGAATCTCATGCCATCAACCCGCATTATTGGATGACAGTAAATGAACTCACTGCATTTCATATATTTTATCATATTGTTATTAATTTTTGGATCCGAATTAAAGATTTTTTTGCGCATGCTGTATATGAAAGCAGTGTTCTTAAAGCTATGATTTTTTATATATATTGAGAGAATTCGTTATGATGGGATGTCATCAATATTTACATGAAAAAATAAATTGCTTTAAATTGTAAGAATGCTGTGTGTAAAAAGCACGACACATATACATGCATGTAAAGCATGTTAAAATTTATAGCATGGGAATGTATATACATAATTAATTCGTAGATATGCACGCATTCATACATATATACGTAGACGCACTCGAACATTCTTACTGAGAGATTCATAAGGACACATTTTTTTCACCTGTGTGTATGAGGCAGGTGTGAAGGAGCTGACCTTTCCTGTTGCAGGGGTGGTCGAAGAGCAGGTCCCTGAAGGCGTTGCAGAGTGGGTCGAGCCTTGGCTCCCGGCAGAGACAGGTGGGCAGGAACCAGGGGAAGAGCACCAGTGTTCTCAGTGCCACTTGGCACCGTGAGACTGTCACCGTCGAGCACGCCACTGTCAAACAAACAAATAAATAAACATTTCATTTGTACTACATGCGGTACACTTTGATCATAATTTTATTATAAAAAATATATATTTAGCATTAAACCAATGTGGGTCATTCTGCACAAGTATAGGTCGAGGATCGATCCTATGTCTTCATATCAAGATTATTCCTCTTGATCAGTAAGGCTGGTGATCTGCTGTAGAATACTGAGTACAGCACTACTGCAAATGTCAGAGTATGTTCAGCACTCTGGGCACACACAAGCTTGTAATTATATCTGTATTTATCGTGGGAAACCAACAAGTTTTACAAATTAAAGACGAGGATACAGGTTTCTTCAATAATGGAATTATAATACTATTTTCAACGTATTAAATATCTCCCCAGCAATAAACATGACATCTGCAGGCAAGATTTTTAGATGCTTTTATTTATATATAAAATTCACGTAACTTTCCCTGGGTATAGTTTATAATTAATGCGATACTAACTAAAAAATTATCTAAAGCGAGGAGTCCAACAATATTTTATTGTTGTTGAATAATGTAATTTTCAAAGTTCTTTACTAATATTATAATTGTTGTCCTGAGCAGTTCAATATAAAAGGGAAAAGTTTATGTAATTTCTAGGTTGAACAGTAAGATACATGTGCAGCAGCTGCATACATGTGTTTTACTGTTCAACTTGTCAGTATTATGTACCATTTTAAGATACATGCCAGACACAGTAACACAACAGCGGTAACTTGGTACAGAGGACATCTGCCACAACTTCATTGCCTAACTACTAGTTATGAATGAGAGGGACCTGCTAAGAATGGACCAGTAGGCCCGCTAAACTGCTCCTCAAATTCTTGCTCTCTTCTACTAGTGGTCCCCGCCTCTTGCTATGTCATGGAGACTGTCACGCCTCACCTCCGGCAGTATTTAGGACTTCATTCTTATACATCATTTTCACATTGTTTCAGATTATGGAGCTGAACACTTCTCCAGGCTGAGGGACTGACCACCTCAAAAATATTTATCCATGGTTGATGTATTTATTACATCATCTTTACTTCGCTACCACGCCTGCTGTCTCCGTATTTGACTGAAGAAATCTACTGTGTAGGCGAAGCGTTCCAATTAACAATAAAGAAACCCAACATGTGTCTTACTTTTCAGGTTGCTGCTTTTATATACCATTTTCAACGTAAGTTCTTAGTTATTCCTTCTAAAGCAAAGTTTAAACATTCTTCAGTGGCATTCAAGGAAAGCGAATGAAGTTTGACCATGATGCCCTAAAAAGCGCGAGGTCAACATTGCCATGTGGCTCAGCCTTCCTGGAAGCGGTTATCATCATCTATTTCTCTTGTATTATTTTCATTAGCGAAACAACATAGATACAGCTAGGCATTAGGTGTGCCAGGCGTGTAAATGACGGAGGATCCAGCCACTATTATTCGCTGTGCTGAATAAACCACACGAGTTTAGCTCTTCCTATCAACATAAAATTAATTTCAATACCTGCAAGTGAGAGTGAGTGTTGCTGAAGGGTTACGTTTACCACCATAGATCACAGCCAGTGCTGGCTAACGAGAGGTAGTGGAGCACAATGAGAATCTACACGCAGGTTAATAAAGGCAGTGAATACCAGGAATGCAGCTTGCTGCAGCATGTCCGTTGCACACAGCTATGAAACACTGGTGGTTATACTGTGTCACGCACGAAGCTACACAACGCAGGTGGTTATCTGGTGTCTGAAACACACACAGCGACAAAACAATGGTAGCTGTGCTGAGTCACACGCACAGCTACGAAACAAAAGTGACCATTATATTACTTCATTACACGAATTCGCAATGAAATTTAAGGAATATAAAGACACATAATGTAGAATATTGCTGGGTGACTCCAAACACTGGTTTTCTTGCTATATGGATTTCTGTGATGTCCTCGATGGTGTTTTGATCCTCCGGGTCAACTGACTTTCTCTGACGCGGTTTACATAAACATCTGCCCAGATTTTTGTTTTTGTATCTAAAACTAGCTTTTAGTTTTTCCTTGTTCATTTCAAATGCCAGTTAAAGAAACATGAAATTTTCTAAGCATTTTGATTCACTGAATGAGTTTGGTAGTCTGCATGTTGGTTGGTCGAGTGTGTTTCTTTGTCGTCATGATAGTTCTGTATACATATATATATAATTTATTATTATATATATATTAATATATATATTATATAGATATATATATATTTTATATATTTTAAAATATATATAATATTTATATATATATATTTTTATATATAATTATAAAAAATTAAATTAATTTAAATAAATTATTAATTTTTTTACTAAAATTATAATGTTTAAAATTCTTCATGCCAGCTTTTTCAAAATGTGGTTCCCCCCGAAGGGGGGTGCCCAAATACAGCAGGCATTACCCCTCTGAACAGCAGCACTGAGCCGCTGGAACAGAAAACTAGCTGCCCTGGGATCCCTAGGTACCCTGATGAGTCTTTTATCTAGCCCCTTAAGGAACTTTGATGCACTCTTTCCCCATGAGCCAAGGGTCTCTGAGCCCATGGGAGCACACATATAATGATGGGCAAGTTCTCCATATTTTCTAGACTTATGGGACCCCCTGAAGCTGGCGGTTGCCCCTCCTTCCTCCCTGGTGTATTGGAGATAGGTATCAGCCAAGGTAGATGTACATGTGTAGTCCCACACCACCTGCTTACCGTCTATCTAGGCTTGAAGTGTGATACCATCTGGACGCTTCTGGCTGCCATCAGATCTGCATAGTTGGGGTGGCTCCCTTACTGCTGGGCATCCGGCTGTTGTGAGGCTCCCTTTTTGGTAATGTTATTAACCTCCTCATGTCTTGCAATCTTTCCCTCAGATTTACGGCACACAAATCCATGGTACCCGAATCGGTTCAAACAGCATGGGTTTCCCACTCCTGTATATATTATATTTATATATATATAATATAATATATATAATATTAATATAATATATATATATATTAATATTATATTATAATATATATTATATATATATATTGTATTAAAATAAGTAATGTTATCGAACCACCACGGAATACTAAACCGTCCTGCCAATACTTAAACAAAATCCCTTTTTCCCGTTTTCATTATGTTTTTGATTCTTTTTTTTTCTGTCTATTAAAAAACGTAGAAAAGAATCTTGCTATCCTACTTACACTTTGGGCACACTTCCACAAGACACCCATCTTAAATAAATAAAGAAAAATAAAAACTAGGTTTTTTCCTTTTTCTAAATAGCTCTATTACTTTTTTATTTTTATTGTCCATGGGGAAGTGGAAGGGGAAGGCTTTCCTACGTAAGGATTTCTGTGTATGAGGATAAAATGGGCCGAGCAAGGGCTAGTAAGTCCCTGTTTAAAAACATTTACTAAAAAAGAGAGAAGAAAACAAAATTTATTAAAAATTGGATGCTTAAAATTCGTGAGATGTAGTGGGATGACAGAAACAGATGGGGTTGTGATGTTATGATGAAATGAATTGTGAGTCCAGGCTCAAGCAAAAAAATTTTGAAGGGGTAGGAAAGTTTCGTGGCGGGGAAATAAATGGGATTAATCTGAAGTAAGGAGAGAGGTTTAGTCATAGGAATGCAGTAAATTTTAAATAACAAATTATGGAAAGGAGGAAAAGAAATTTTTTGGAATGGTGGGAAAATTTAAGAATTTATTGATTAAATAAAGTTGGTGCGGAAGTTTCATAATAGCTTTATGCCACCTAGAGAAAAGGAATGCCAAGAGAAGAAGATTTGGAGGGAATATAAATGAATGTATAGGAGCCTTTGAACCAAGTGAGAGGTTGAATTGTGGTAAGGGACCTGGAATGCAAAAGTAGGAGTTTTAAATTTAGAGTGGTGATTTGGTTAGGAAGTTTTGGGGTGCCAGGTGTAAAATGATATGGAAGCTTGATTGAATTATGTATTAAAAGGGGTTTTAGTTATAGGTAATACATTTTTAGAAAAGAGTATTTTAAGTATACACATATATGTAATTGCAAATGACATAGTTTGTTGGAATTAGAGATAAAGACTTTGAAGAAATTCAGGATGTACATGTTATAAGGGGCCAAGAATATCCACACTTTTGTTATAACTAAGTAAAGGAGATGGATACATCAAGAAATTTAAAACATCAGAAAAGACAGGTGAGGTTATAAACTAAGAGTAGCATTAGGGTAAGATATAAAAGTATTGGAGGATAGATGGCTAATGAGGCATAGGCAATGGGGTGAAAGGTATGTGGTTTAGGTTTTAAAATGAAGGTTGTAGTGCAGCGGTTTGGTGGTTACAGAAAGTGGGTTGCAGGAGGGAAGGGGTGATTTGGTGAATGATAATGTTAGAAGAGATAGGTAAGGTTGTAAAGTGAATATAAAGTTTTTAACAATGTAGAAGTGATGCAAAATTTGGGGAAAGAGTATTTGGAAAAAGAGAGAGTTAAGAAGTGGTGAAGCAATGAAAAAGGAAAGAGGTGGTGGAGGTGTTTTCTACAATTTTGTTAAAATAAGAAAAAGTTTTGGATAGGGTTTAAAAAGTTAGAAAGTGGAACAATGATTTGTCAGTTAAAATAGGAGAAGAGGTTATTAAAATGGAGAGTTAGAGTATTGGAAAGGGGGGAATATTTTAATTGTTAAAAGTTGTTAGAAGATGGGAACCTGTGATTTATTTATAGGGCAAGGAGAAATCACTTGTAGGAGTGAGAAAGATCCAGTTTTAGTTGGGGAAGTTCCGTAGGCAGTTGGTAAAATGGGGTGGAAGCACTTGGATTTGGGTTTATAAATAAAATGTTAAAGCAGTGGGGATATAGTTTTTGGAGTGGTTGGCAATTATTTAAAAATTGTTGGGATGGGGTAAGACTAGGGAGGCAGAGAGCAATGCAAAAAGTTCCCTTTGATTTTGGTCAAAGTTGTGAGATGCAAAAATTATAGGGGATAAACTGTTGAACGGAAAATTATGTAGATTATTTGGAAG